ATGGAGAGCGGCTTGGCAAGCTCTTCTGCCAGCTCCCTCATCACCCTAGGATGGATCCCGTCTGGTCCCATAGACTTGTGAGGATCCAGATGATTCAGTAAGTCACCAACTATTTCCTCCCGGAATACAAGGGGGCTATTTGGTTTCCTATCTCTGTCTACCAGCTCCAGAGGCCAGTTGCCTTGAGGGTCACCTGTCTTACTGGTAAAAAGTGAGGCAAAGTAGGTGTTAAGTACCTCAGCCTTCTCCTCATCTCTATTAACTCTGTTTCCCTCCAAGTCCATCAAAGAATGGAGGTTTTCTTTGCCCCTCCTTCTGTTATTAATGTATTTATAGAAGGACTTTTTGTTACCCCTAACAGAAGTGGCCAATTTAACTTCAAATTGTGCTTTTGCATCCCTGATTTTCTTTCTGCATGACCTAGCTGTCTTCCTGAATTCTTCATAAGTAGCCAGCTCTTTCTTCCATAGTTGGTAAACTCCCTTTTTATCCCTGATTTCCTTCAGAATCTCCCTGTTAAGTGTTTCAGTAACACTTTCTTTCTAGAAGTCATCTTTTACACTGTTGTGTGTGCCAGAGTCCAGTCTGAGACTTTCTTTTACCCTTCTAAAAAATAGGTGTGATGTTTCCCTTTTTCCAATCACTGGGGACTTCACCTGACTGCCATGACTTTTCAAATATGATGGAGAGTGCCTTAGCAACTACATCAGCCAATTCCCTCAGAACTCTGGGATGCATCTCATTGGGTCCCATAGACTTATGTACATTCAGGTTCCTCAGGTGGTCATGAACCTGATCTTTACTTACAGTGGGAGGGACTTTCCAAGTCCCCATCCTGCTGTCCATCCACTCAAAAATTCAAAAATGCATGCATACATATCATATGAGGAGAGGCTAAGAGACCTGTGACTCTTCAGCCTGGAAAAGAAAAGGCTCAAGGAAGAGGAATTTTAACAGTGTATATAAATACTTGATGGGAAAAATAAAAAAGAAAGGGAACCAGACTCTGTACTGCCCACTGACAGGGCAAGAGGCAGAAATTAAAACAAATGAAATCCATCTGAATACAAGAAAACACTTTTTACTGTGAGGGTGATCAAACACTGTAACAGGTTGCTCAGAGAGGTTGTGGAGTCCATCTGTAGGAATATTCAAAACCTGACTGGACATGGTCCTGAGCAACCTGCTCTAAGTGGCCTTGCTTGGAGGCATGAGTAGAGGGAAGTTGAATGGGGTTGTACTAGATGATCTTGAAAGGTCCTTTCAAACATCAACCATTCTTTGATACCACCTGTGAACAGGTCAGTCATGGGAACAAGCCTAGAAGTCTCTAAATTTAAAAGCACAAGCTAAATGGGCAGTGTTTTTCATTTCAGAAGTTCCAGGTTCGATCCCTGTAGACAATCCAATTATGGATACTTTTCATCAGTAAATACCCATCAATTACAATATTGGAAAGCATTTTTTTAAAGACAGAAAAAACAGACAACTATCATCATCTTGGATTTTGTTTCAAAGTCTATTTAAGGACTCTGAGCTAAAGTCAGTGGTTATAGCTCTTACCAGCTATAGGATCCATGGTTTCTCTATTGCTTGGAGAATATGAACTCTGAGAAGATGAAAGGCCACCACTGGAACTGCTAGTAAAGTGCATGTTTGATCTACGTGCACGGGGGCCTCCCAAACCCCGGCCTGGGTGAAACATTCTACGTACGTGCCGGACACCACTAGATTCATCATAACCAAGCAGTTAAGAAAAGTCTTTTGCTATCAAGTATTAAACAGCAAGAACATTTACTAGATTGAATAATTGAGCAACACACTATTCCTTATTCATAAAACAATGATTCAACTTTATAAGCACCATGCAATCATAGCTATGGTGCCAGTAAGACCTATAGATGTGAACTCAAGGCACCCAAGGCTCCTTGCACTAAATTCATCTTTCCCAGACTTTTTTATCATGTCTAAAAACTGTCAGGATGGATTTTATGCCTTATGGATTAAAGTTTCTACTAGGTAATGCTACAACTGATGATGCATATTCAGCAGAACACATTACTCAATAGACATAAGGATTTTAGCATCAAAATTGGGAAAGAAGGATATCTAAATATCGAAAATAGTCTACAAAGTTGCTATTCTTACCACACAAACTTGTTCTCCCAAGACAGTCTAGCTAAAGGTTCCTTTTATCTTAAGAAGCACTAGTGCAATTAACTACTAAACTAGGAAAATGTACCTATATATATATTATTTTTCCAATTTATAAATTAGTATTTTTAGCTCATCTTATATCCAATTTATTTATTTTAAAAAATAGCATGTTTATCACTTGAATAAAATCTATTATTTGCAGCAGACTGGTGCCCAATGTCTTATCCCACAATGCATAATTATGGCATAGAATTGATTTCCTCACAGTATTACTGAATTGAAAAATTTAAGACTGAAAAATTATGACTTCTTTTGGCAAGTAAGAATATCCAGTTACCATAATAAATATTTTCATGAAGAATTGAGTCTCTTAAATCTATTATGCTATAGAGCATAAAACATTTCACTTTCAGGAGGGTGTAGGGACAGAACGTGAATGCAGAAGATTTATTTGAGGAAGAAAAAGAGGTCTTGCTGGGAAAACTAGGCCTAGAAAAAACCCAGTGTGGGAGAAAATTCTTTCCCATGAATAGTGCTATCTATTTCTCTGCTTGTCTGTTTTAGAAGTTAACTTCCCTTTTTCGAGAAGAGATTAAGTTCTCACAGACATGCCTGAGGCCTCTGCTGGGAGAGAGGGAGACCATAAAGCACAGGGGAGAACACAGCCTTGAAGTTATGCGCAAGCGAAAGGTGTTGTTATAAAAGCACCAGAATGGGCTTCCTGGGCTGCTCTTTCAACTGCTGCATGATTTAGCAGTGTATTTGGGGTTTCTGATATTGGAACAAACTTTTCCTCAATACCCTAGTCGTGGTTTGGTCACCTGCCTTTATATCAATTCTTACAGAGGGGAGGAGAGAAATCTCCCTTGAGACAGAATATAGTTGTCTAGCACAAATTGGTTTGTTCCTCCTTTGTATCTGTTGATACTGGATACTGGTAGTGACAGAACATTGTCACTAATATTTTACTGGTTGACTACTGCTCTCATGCAGTTTGGGAAGTTTTCTATAGCTACATATGACAGAAAAATGCCCCCATTCTGGGCCTTTTTTTAAAGTTAACTTGGAAAATAAGATAACTAGAACATCCTTAATATAAATCCTTTGAAAAAATGCAGCCTTGGTCTCATTTAGAAAAGGGTTGTAGTAGCTTGCTAACTGCACCTTTCAAAGTGTTTTTAAGAAAAGCAACATAATTTAAATATACTAGTTAAGAGTATATTGATGTCTCACCCAACTATGATGGGGTTAAAAAAGCATTTGGAACTCTTAACTCAGTGCAAACATATACTGAAAACAACCAAGCTAGAACCACTTACAAGGTCAAGACTAAAGCTATGTTTTAAACAGTAAAATAGCTGAAAATTGTTTAAGAAAGAAACTGGAATTTAAAGAGCTGTCCAGAGTCTCCCAGGGATAAAGGTGGTTTCTTGCAGTGTCTGCACAGGATTCTTCACAAGAAATATGTTTAGCCATTTAAAACAGATTAAAACACCCTTCTGTTACACAGAAGACCATATCCTTTCCTAAACTGATAGCAACTGAGCAGGGGGAAATCTCTCCCCCATTTCTTCCTTTTAGTCTTAACTGTCAGAAGACATGAAATAGTACTCAACATGGAAAACTAGTCTAGAAACTCTATCAAGTTTTGTGGACTTGGCAACACTGATTGCTAAAGTAATGTTGTACAGATACTTGTGCATTTCCTATAATTATTTATAAAGACTACCCCCATCAGTTTTGTGATAACTGACACTGTGGCCTTACTCAGAAACTGAAAAGATTACTCTGATTTCTCTAGCTCTTATGTAGCTAGTAATAAAGAGACATTTTCCAATTAAAAGTTATCTGACATCACCGATGTGGGAGGGGAAGGAAAAACTTCAGAAGCATGAATTCAAATCCAACACCTCATCCACTTCAATAGGAAGCCAATTTCACTGTATAATTCAGACTGACAATTAAAATGCTAACAAATTTAAATACAGACCACAACCAAAGTGAAATCATTTCCTTTCATGTTGCTAGCAGTAGTTATAATGACCTTGAGTTGTTAGGTCTGTTTTGTTTTTTTTCAAGAAGCCCTGAACAAAAAAAGGCACTATCAAATTATACCAGGGGTGTATTTTTTAAAGGAGATACAGAAAGATAAATCATTTCAAGATCACCTAATGAGTTTTTCATGATGGCCTGTACTTCCATGAAGAGTATCTTCTGAAATTACGTTGCAAGTATTTGTACAGCAAAAAAAGTGATACATTACTATTCCTAAGACCAAGTAACAGAAAGAAAATTGTACTTAAAAGTGCAAAGAAACTGACAGTTTGAGCTCTTCAGTCATTGAGCGTAGTTATATCCCTACAATTTGCAGATAACAAAGATAGTCCTAATCCCTAGGAAGTCTCCCGATAGATCTTCTAGTTATATCTTTTAAAAAGTCAATAAATAACAAGCTGGAACTACCCTATTGAAATACAGTAATAAAACTAAACAAACACTTAAGATCCCTCAATTTCAAAGTCCAAAGCATTCTCTAACAAACATATGCTTTCGGTGAAGTCTACTTTCAGTCCTGTGATTATCTATAAAACACTATTACATCTGGATTGCTGCTTTCCCATACACAAAATGGCATCAGAACTAATGACCAAGAAGGGTAAAAACTGCAGAAAGAAGCAGCTGGATATCAGAAACATCTTTATAAGGTTTTGCTATCAGGAATAAAACAAAAACATACACCCACATTGTCAAGCAACACCCAAAGCCCATTCACAGACTGATAGATATAAATATATATAAATATAAACAATTCAGACTTATAGTTCCCCTATAACTAAACAGCAATTCTAAAAAATAAGCAAAACTGATGTAGCCATTTGACTACATAAGTCAGAACAAGTAGTTATAGCTATAATAAGGAACGGTCTATTCCTTTTCCCTCAACTTAAGAAAGGATATTAAATCTCTAGGAGCTCTGTGTTCCAGTGTAAGATGAGCTGCAAAGTCATCTGTGACATGATTAGGATCCCCTCCAGGCAATGCTGCACATATTGGACAGATCTGAAACAACAAAGTGAGAAGAAAAAAAAAACCACAACCAACTTTACACAAATCACAAAACACAATTCAGAGTTGATCACTTGACATGGATTCTTATACTTACTCATAATTACTTTTCCTTGCAATTATTCTTTTAATAATACCATGGAAACAAAAAAGTAAAATTTTCAAATCCTATCTGCAATGTTTCAGCTTTCAAATTTGTCTTTCTATGTCAATTCCATCACAGACAGTAGGTCTAGTTACACAGGATTACTGCTTGAATGTACCTATATATGACATTATCAAGTTCACTGTCATAGGTTTGAGAAGAGATGTTGGAATTTTTTCCCAATGTCTGCTCTCTCCCCCCCCCCCCCCCATCTGTTTCTTCCGGGATGAGGGTGGGGGACAGAGCAAAGCCGCATGCGCGCGGGAGCGGGAGGAGGGCGAGCTCTCTCGGGAAACGGAGGTTGCCGCAGGGGAGGGCTGGGAGTCTGTTGTTCGGGGGCTCTAGGGTTTGGTCCGCAGACTGGGCAGAGCAGAAGCCCAGTTTTCGGCCGCCTCCTTTTCTTTTCCTGAGAGGAAGTTTTTTTCCCCACGGGACACCTCGCGGAGGACGACTGAGAGAGAGACCGACCCATCCCAGAGCGAGGTATTCTGCTTTCGACTGACTGTGGGAAAAAGGACTTTTTTTTCAGTGCTAACTGTGAGCACACGGGGCTGCGAGCAGCTGTTGAACAGCTGAGACAGTCCTGCCTTCCCTCCCCTCACCGGGTTGCTGAGGATTTCTACTGTACTGAGTGGGGTCTTATCAGCTACCAGAGTGAGTTGTGGTCTCTGCCTTCAGCCACTGGAGCAGGAACAGTATGTATCCCCAAACACAGCTAATGGGGGGAAAATCAGCATGAGTGAGGGGTCCAGCACTGGTAACTGAAGCAGGACCACCAGTCACAGCCCATGTGGTGCCTGGTGCCAACTGCTGGGGGAAAGGGCGAGTGGTTGTCTGCATCTTCCCCAAACTTGGTGTGCATGTATATTGGCTAGTAAGTTGAGTCTAGGCAGAGGTATGAAGCAGGCAAGGGTCTGTGCTGGTACGCCCAGGGGAACATGCAAATATGGAGTGCTTGTGAGATGAGTGCATGAGTGTTTGCTAGTGAGCATCAAGCTGGACTAGCTGGCAAATAGGAGACCAATGAAGCAAGTAAGAGTGCCTGGGATCCAGGCAGGGGCACTGGACAAAGAGGGTCATGCCAGTACTCAAGGGATGACAGTGAACATGCATGCGCTTGTGAATCTAGAGAGTATTATGTGTACCTTCATTATAGCAGCAACCTTCTATCTCTACCAGGTGAAGAGGAAGGAGGGAACTTGTCTGCCTTATGTTTTATGCAAGTCCTACATGTAGGTGCTGTTGAAGGCAGCACTATGTCGGTGCTTATCTGTGTGATGGGCCATGTGTCAGTGTCCTCCGTGTGTGTACAGGTCTCCGAAAATTGTGCTCAGCTTCACTACTGGTTGAACCTGAAAATGGGAAAGTGGCAGCTGCATCCCTCAACCTAGGCAGAGGCCCTGGGTCCCCAGGCTGGGCTTCAGTAGCTGAGTAGAAGGGAGTCCTGGGCTGGATAAAGCAACCATGCTCTTAACATCCCTTAAAATTAGAAAGTCACCATATTACTTGGAATGAAATCCAGGATATTACTAAAAAGCCTTACGCCAGTAAAGCTCCAAACGTCACAATTGACTTGACAGTTTCTAGATCTGTTCCCTTCTTACCATCACCTCCCCATGTATACAAGTATACTGATTTTGGCTGGGATAGAGTTAAATTTCTTCATAGTAGCCCATATAGTGCCATGCTTTGGCTTTGTGACCAAAAGAGTGTTGATAACACACCAATGTTTTAGCTATTGCTGAACAGCTCTCACACATCATCAAGACCTTTTCTGTCTCTCACACTGCCCCAACAGCAGGTAGACTGGGGATGTACAAGTAGTTGTGAGGGGACACAGCTGAGACACTTGATCCCAACTTACCAAAGGTATATTCCATACCGTATGCCATCACAGCAATAAAAAACACAGGGAAGAAAGGAGGATGGTTCAGAGTTATGGTGTTTGTCTTCCCAAGAAATCATTACATGTGATGGAGCCCTGCTTTCTTGGAGATGGCTAAACATCTGCCTGCCAATGGAAAGGAAGGAATGAATTCCTTATTTTGCTTTGCTTGCATAGGCAGATTTTGCTTTCCCTATTATCTCAACCTGCAAGTTTTTGCACTTTTACCTTTCTTATTCTCCCCTCCATCTTATCCCATCCCATCCTCCTAGGGACAGGGGACAAGTGAGCAAGCAGCTGTGTGGTGCTTAGTTGCCATGAGCACTGGGCCATGACCAGTATTTTTGGCATGCAACCTAGAACTCAAAGGGTTTGAGATAATGACAGATTTGACCAGAGCATATTAGAGGGAACATATAATTATTATAGCTGCTTAACCATCCATGATAGTAACTGATGAGTAATGCCCCTCCTTATCCTGACCAATGAGCATTTTTCCATATTTTCTACCCATCCTGTTGCTGGGGAGGGAGGTGAGATAGAGCAGCTTGATGGGCACCTGGCAACCAGCAAAGGTTGACCCACCCCACCCTGGTTCTTTCAGTTCAGTCTAATTGCTCCCCTAGTAAATAAAAAATGGATCCACTAAGTGTGACTGAGTAGCAGAAAACTGACGCCTTTATTCTGAAACTTGATTCAAAGATGATATCTGATTGCATTTCTTACAATTTTCAGAGCTACAACCCTAAAAAACCCCAAACTTCTACCTGAATACTGTTTTTGAAACCCAATAGCAACAGTAACAATCATCATAATGCCAGCCACATCTATCTGAATTTGCCCGGTATCACTGACCATTACCCTTGATCATTTGATGGAGAAATAATAATTTTTATGGCCAGTCTCTTCGCGAACGAAGAACCGGGGAAGGTCTTTCCACCTTCCAGCCTGCGCATTGGATTTTTTAGGTGAGACACAGTGTGCGCGGAACTGAGCCCACCCTTTAATCCTGAGGTTCATCTGCCGGGGCCAAGCACGCTTGGACGGTGGCAGCGAGGTCCTCAGGATGTAGATGGATTGCCT